GGGGGCTAAATATGGACACATGAAGAAAATGAGAGGAGCTGACATGAGATGTCTCTAATATACTGTACACTGATAAGGTTTAGCAGTTTTCCACTTTTAATACATCCCTGTTTCCAAGTGTGCTGTAGGTGTGTTGTGCTCAATCTGAGTTTCACATATTAGTCATCTTTCATTCAGAAAATCATTTTTTTCTTACTGCAGCAAGTTAATTTGAAATGACTGATTGAATATTGTGTCATTACTCCAGACGTTCTTTAAACCGAACGTGGACCAGTCGGCACAAGAAGTCCACTCTGAAAGAGAAAAACACTGGACGAGATCCGACATGTGATGGAAACCCAGCAGTACAACAGCATCACTCAGCCACAGGTAGCCTTCACATGTTCTTTAGTTTCCACTCATTCATTTTTTTTCCCCCTTTCGTATTGATACGCGCATGCTTTCCTGTCTCAGATCCCTTCTGTGATATTCTAAAGAGATATTTTGTATCCAGAGGTTGTTTGTTTTTCATTTTGTCATGTGGTTTTTCGTCTCAGGCACCAGAGAAAACCAGCTCAACCAAAGCCATATGAGGAAGGCGAAAGTAAGAGCCAGTGTCACTGAGAGAAGAATCCAAGATCTTTCAGTCAACATGCGCATGAAGGAGGAGCTCCTCAAAGAGCTTGACAAAACTGGTGTGTTTACGTAACTACACACTGTTCTTTCTCCTTTCTTTGGCTGATTTGTTTGGGTATCAGATTGGTTTTAAACATTCCTACACAACTCATGAACTTCTTGCAGCTCCCAGTGCTTCAATAAAATGACAGTGACGAGATAGCTTTGATGGCAGTCTTATAATCACTGTTGTAAATTTTATTGCTGTTTTATTTATTTTTTCACAAATGATTTGAATGCAGCTTTTCTGGAGATAGGGCACATGTATCGCTAAAGTATGAAAAAGTCAAGTATTTTCAAGTTTTGAAATAACAGGGTTGTTGCAGCAACAGGCTTTATCCCTCCAAGGTATCAGTAAAGGAACAAAGAGAAAATACACGTCTGAATAATGTCCCTTGTCCCATGATAGACTAATTCTTATTAGTCCGTCTATTAGTCTATTAGTCTGAGGCAACAGCTATACAAAACCAATGAATCATCACATGATACTTTCTAAACTTTGACAGACTTTGTTTTATTTCCAAATTTGAACAATATTTGCATCTCTAAATTAGTGCTTTTTTCTGACAGACAAGGAAACTCAGGCAGTGGACAGACGTGTCGGGCACAGTGGTGGTGATGGCGGACAGCCCAGTGTGTTGGCAAGACTGTCCATGCAGAGCCAGCAGGTCCGAGCAGAGATGTACCGCAGCCTGCAGCACATGAGCCTGCAGAGAGCGCAGCTTCAGACCAGCCTCAAGCAGCAGAGAGAGATCAGAGACAACAACAAAGAACTCCACCAAACTAGGGTTAGTTATGCAAATGTTCTTTTTCCTTTTTTTTAAAAAACAAACTAGGTAACATCAAATTTGTTTTCCAGTCAGTGAAAAAAAAAGCAATTACATGTGAAACTTTAGTTTTGTGTCAGCCTGTCAGTTATGTTGCTCCAAGCTTTTGAAGTCCATTTTTTTTGGAGTTGATGTAAAAAAAGTATCTATTTTCCAAGTAAAAAGGGTCAATACAGTTGTGTGTATGATCACTTGGATACGTATTAAACTTGAATTTAAGTATGACCTGAGTTTTGTCATGTCTGTCATCGGATGAATTTGACAATTACTTATAAAAATCTAGGTCCTAATTGAACTAATTGAATTCATGTGACAATTCAGTCCATATGGGATCTTTGGGAAATGCAGAACGGCAAAAACGATGTGTAATTTACTTTTTGGGTAAACATGATTGTCTGTGTTTCCAGGAGCAAAGTGCAGAAGATTCAACTGTGTGCAAACGGTATCATTTGGAAAAGACAAAAGAAAAAGTAAATCATTGTTAAAGTTAAATATTAACAATGTAAAATGCTGGTTTTCATTTTTCTCCTGTAAAACAGTCCTTTTGACAGTGTTTCTTTTGTCCTCGCTGCAGCCATGTGAGAGTAGTTGGCTGGAGGATGAGGAGGAGCAGGTTCTTCAGAGGAGAGCAGAGCTGCAGGAGCTGGAGGAGGAGCTGAGGAGAAGAGAGGAGGTGCTGCTGCAGAGGGAGGCCTGTCTGCAACAGAAAAGCAAACTAGAGATCAAGATGCTACGCTCCAGTCAGGTCAGCCTGTATTTTTATCCTAAGTTAGATTAAATATTTTGACAAGTCCCTTTCTTTGTGCTACTTGTAGATTAAAATAAACTCATGGTAGGGAAGCTGGAATTATGAGGGGGTTTTTTTATCAATTACTTTTCAGGCTCTAAATCAGGACCTGCTGCATGTGTCGATGCAGTTAGGGTCTGTGGAGGAGCAGCTGCAAAGGAAGACTGGAGGAGTTACTGTAGAGGAACTGCAGAAAGAGAGAGACATGCTTAAAAAAAGAAGAGACACTCTGGACGCCCAGCTGAAGGACAACAGAGTGCTCACTGTGGAGGTCAGAAAAGAGTGAAAATTGTGCATGTGATGTCCATGATGTATCGCTTGCACAGATTCTAGTAAGCTTTTGTTAGATCTTGTTCCATGCTACATTTCTAATTGAGCACTTTCATTTATACGCGTCTTCACACAGGAGGAGCATTCCCTTCTCCAGCTGGAAGAAGCTATTGAAGCTCTGGATGCAGCTCTAGAGTTTAAAAACCACTCCATCCAGGACAAACAGCAGAAGCTGTTAGTCTCTGAGTTCTCTCTCAATCAGTCACAAAACACTGAACCCACCCAACTCTGCGATGTCTTGAGGAAGCTGAAGGAGCTCTCACTGCCCGAGGCTTTGGAGCTGCTCGTCAAATATTTCAACAAGGCAAGATGAAACGCATGTAAACGTGGATATATGCAACATTTAGCTTTACTATTACATCCATTCTAGGTCTTCACTAGAGCCTGCACACTGTCTGTCTGTCTTCACTCCGTCTTCTCTGTTTTCTCTTTCCTGTCCCATTATTTTGTATTCACTAGAAAATTCCAAGAGTGCCTTCTGGTGGCTGCGCTTTGCTAAAAACACATTCATTCAATTGTAAAATGGATTTTACCATGTCAAACGGAAACTGAACGCTGTCTCCTCCACTTTCTGTTCCAGATCCAGATTTATCTCACTGCTTTTCTATTCTTCTGCTATTAACCATGCCTTGTTTCTCTCTCCAGGCAAAGTGCTTCTGTTAGTCAGAAATGCAGCTGCACTAATTAAATCATATCCCCTCTTTCTTTCTGCTCCCTTAATGCTTCCTCCCAGTACCCTTTTCCATGTTATATTATTACACTATGACAAACTTTCTCCCACCTCTTTTACTCCATATTTCTGCAGGTGTAAAAGTAAATAAAGGAACCAGATTCAGATATTGTCTTTGCACTTACATATTGCACAAATGTGTTTCATTATGCTATTTTCCCACCTTTGTCATACTATTTAGGTTGTTTGCCTTCGAGAGGCAGAGCGCCATTTACGCTTGCATTGTGAAGAGCTGGAGCTTCATGCTGGTGAGCAAGAGGTGGAGCTGAGGGAGATGGAGTTGGCCATGCAGCGTCTGGCCCTGAATACAGACCGAAAGCTCACCCAGCAACACCAAGATCACCAAAACAACATTCAGCTACTGCTGCAGAAACTAAAAGGTGAGGAAATCAGATCAACTTGAACAAAACCATTTAAATGTAAACTTTTTTGTCTCTTGACTCTCTCTGATATTCACACAGAAGCTGTTGCATACAGAATATTGTTTTTATTTACTGATGCCCTTATGTATGTGTGTGGTTAGAGGGTGGTTCAGGAGAGGCACAGAAGGACATCCAAGACCGACTGCAACATCTGGAGAAAGAGCTGTTTTTCTACAAAAGCACCAGTCGACAACTCAAAAAGAAACTGAAGGAGCTTCTCGGAGATGCCCTGCACTCTGATGATCAGCGCTCACAGGAGCAAAGACAAGTACACAATATGCAGACACATGCGAGTGTAAATGAACCCCAGAGTCATCCTGAGGAGGTGCACACAAGTACACACATTGCAACAACATACACAAAAATACATGCTGAGCAAACAGACAAAAAGACACACAGTGATTCTTGTATGAACAGACATGCAAACCAAACCCAGCGTCCCTCTTCATCCTTTGATCGGCAAGCACTCAAAAAGACAAAAGAATGCAACCAGATGCACACACAGTCTCAGATGAGGAGTGTAAGAGGTCAATCTGGTGAAGGTTTAGAGATGATTCCAGTTCGTGTGACTCACAGAGAGGTGAGACAGATCTCTGCAGCTGACCTGCACATCTCTGGTTCTGCCACAAGGAGGCGACAGTCTGCTGTGGATAACAGCACAGAGTCCATGTTAGAGGACTCCATTGAAGTGACCAGGAACACTGACAGATAATTTTGTGGATTTATTCTGTGACTTTGCATAAATGATAGTACTTACTTTAGTTCACATTTCTTATTTGGGAATCTTCAAGCTCTTGTCCTGGAAAAAGACAAAAAAAAAACCAAGTTTCAACAACCTATATTTCTAATGTTGTAAATTAAAGGCATAAATACATTATATACACTTACAACTTTGTGTACGTTTTGTGAGAACGGGGTATTGGATACAAGGATCAGCACTTTTCTGATTATAATAATACAGTGGATCACCTTAAAGTCATCAGCTTGTACATTCAATAATTAGATTCACCCCTTTTTACAAACACTATTGGGTCAAAATATATACGTTAGGGAAGGAGTCTTCCTGAATCTGTTGTTAAATGTAATGAAAACGTGCTTTGTCTTTCATGCTTTAGTTTCAGCACTGTTGAGCACTTAAATGGCCACTAAATACAGTCGAGTTTTCTGCATGAAAACAGTCATGAAAAGCTTTTTCTGTATGAATTGACTTTTGATAGGAACCTTGTGTGCACTTTATGCTGTTAGTTGTATGTTGATTGCAGTGTAATTTTTTTTATTTATATTTGTGATTATTATTAAAATCTATTGTAATAAAATTCCTACTGTTCATACCTCATTGTTTTGGGTTCTTTCTTATTTCTTTCTTCTCCAACTTATTAACATCATGAAGCCATGTTTTTTGGCTGAGTAAGACACAGTCAGACAAATTGCTTAAAGCTTTTGTACATTTATTTTTTAAACTGGGACTAAACTGTAACATATTTAATACCGTCTTTCCTCAACTGGCAGGATTCAAAATATAATTCAGGCTTCATATGTTAGTTTGTGGTAATTTAATTGTTTGGGTATATTTTAATATACTGGTTAGGGTTTTTAACATGGTCCCTCTACAATCAGAGGTTCTGCTGTTATTTATATACCACATTTAATGCAACACTTACCAAAGAGAATAAAATTAATGTCACAACTTTACCCATCAAGCTTAAATAAAAAGGTTAAGACTTTACAATATTATTTATTGTATAAATATGATATAATGTGCAATACTTAAAATATGAATAACATTTATTATAGACATATATTTGCTCAAGAGTCACCAACTAGCTTCGCGGATTGCGTTTGCTCGGTTGTCATGGTGATTCGGACATGTATGGTCACGAGAGAAGTCATGACAACTAAGATATCACCATGACAACGGGGGTAAAAAAAGAACCTGGTTAGCGGCTCAATTATGACGCTTTTTTTCGCAGTAAATTTTTAATACTCCTAGAAAACAGTTCAGATACAACTAACATGGAACATACAATATAGACAAAACTGATGGATTGAGCTATAAACACAGAAAGAGCAAGTTTCATTTTCAGTTGAGAGAGCACTTTAAATGGATCGCGAATCAGAAGCCCAGCCTCATGCTTTTTGGCACCGCAGGGCTACTGTACTCAGTCAGACAATCGCTGGTAGCAAACCAACGGTAACCGACTGCACCTTCACGAACAGGTGAAAGTACTCTTTGGGAACTTTTCTTGTGAGTAGTGCCTCTTCAGCACAAGTCAGTGAACGTGTTAAATACAAAAGGTCAACGTGAGTTCGTTCATGGGTTTTTGACTTGCACGTATCTCTACTTTTGCACTTGTTTAGAAGCTAACAAAACCGGCTAAGTGTTGCACAGTTAGCTAGGTTACGTTGCTGCTATGTGACGCTAGCCTAGCCGCTATTCATAACGACACACTTTAAATCACTTTACATTCATCTGCACTGCTGTCTGTTTCGGTACAACACACTGACTGTGTAGTCTGTAGCTTTAAATGCAGCTGTTGTACGAGATATAGTGGGAATATTCTGTGGAAAGAGGTGTCGACTAAAAGCTAAGTCTTTGTATGATCCCCTTTGAGTTATCCTAACTGTATTGCCATTTCTCTTTTTATCTCTAGCATTCAGTTTTCCTTCTCGCGATGGCATCGTCTGCAATGATCACCGTCCCCACCACCGCCTCCCGCTTTGCCCTGCTCCAGATAGACTCAGATTCGGACTCTGACGCCTCCGAGCCGGGGAAGCCTGCCACCAAAAACGGACGGGACTCCTCTGGGAAGCCCCGACAAGGAAAAGCAGGAGCAGCCGGGGGGAAGGCTGCTCAGGGCAACGACAAGAAGAAAGACAAGAAAAAGAAGAAGAAGGAACAGCAGCAGAGTGAGGCAAACGAGGTGAGAGACCGTGTCAAAGATCAAAACAGGACCCTTTACTTCCTACTTCATTTGTCACATGATTGTGTTTCACTTCACCTGAACTGAAACTGAAGAGAGTGGTAACAGGTGCACACCGCAAGGAGGATGTGCTGTTGTTTATTTGTACTTGTTCGTTGCTGAAGAGGAAATAAAGAGCCAGTGCAGTTGTAAAAATGGAAGTTAGCTAGTGAAGCATTTTTTACTAAGGAGATCTCCAAAGGATCAATATCTCTTTTGCCATAAAGCCCGGAGACCAAATAAGACACACTGGATCACAACAATGAATGTCACTCTCTGAAAAAAGCCTCCACACATTCACACACACACACACACACACACACACAGCCACACTAATTATCAGTTCAAATGACTAGAAACATTAGTGAACATATGTCTGTGTAGATTCTCTGTCATCCAGGTCATGGTGGAGCTTCATTGGAAAACAACTGGACTTCTCTTTTCGGTTCTTGAAGACATTCCACCTCTTATCCAAGAGGAAAAACTGGAGGAACAGCATTGTCATTTCATTTGTAGCTGGTGTGTCCAAGAAATTCTAAGGATTTTCTCTCAACACAACATACTTGTGCACTTCAGACCCAGCAACACTGAGGCATAATCTGGTTCACCTCCAGGATAAAACCCCTGCATACAAGCGTTGTATATGCGTTGAGGAGTCATCAGGCTTGTACATAGGGGAAACTGAACAACAGTTCCACAAGGGCTCAACGGAGGAGAGCCAGTTTATCAGGACTAGACTCAGCAGTCCACCTGCATCTGAAGGATAAGGGACAGGGACTCAATGAGGGCAGCAATGTACACATTTTGGACAGAGGAGACAAATGGTTTGAGAGAACAATGAAGGAAGCTGTGTTTGTCAAACTGGAACAGCCATCTCTAAACAGAGGAGAGGGCCACCACTTATTAAGCACCTATACTGCAGTGCCAAGATAGAAAATTTCACTATCATTAACATCTTGACTTATTCCTGCCATGGCAGATTCATATCTTTTGTTGTGTAAACTGTCAGCTCCACAACCATTATTGCTGTCATTGCTGTTGGACCACCTGGTGTCATAACCACTCAGACCTTGATTCTAACTATCTATCTATCTTGAGACATGTGAGTCCTGGATCCTTTGTGAGCTGGAGTTATTATAAACATCTGAAACCCCCCATCAGTCAGTTAGAACTGAAGAAGCCTTTTTGGATGAGAGGTGAAACATCTTCCAAGAACCTAAAAGAGAAGTCCAGTTCCTTCCTACTAAAGCTCCCAGGATAACCTAGTGAAGCTTTAAAACTTGTGTTGCAGCTCATGCCATTCATCAAGAGCTAACATCAGAAACCAGTTCCCTGGTTGAGTCCCTTCTGGGATGTTATCGCCCTACACTCAACTAAAGATCATCTCAGAAGATTAGACAGCAGAGCCTTATAGATGAAGGCGCCTTCTAGATGCTACTGATGTCATGTAGCTTCTTCACATAACTCACAGTGATAGCTGTCCTGTGTAATGAATGAAACGGCACACTGGTAGACAGTGTCCAGTGGTTTAAGGGTAGCGGCAGCAGCATGAGCATACAGGATATCTTCATAAAAGTGTAGAAAGGGTTGTAGAGTGTGTATATATCTATATTTTTCTTTCTCTCTTTTTGATGGAGAAACAAGGTTTTCTCCTTTATAAGAATCCAATTTTCATTTGAATTTTAAGCAAAGTGCTAAAATCTAAAGTATTGTTTTATCAGAAAGTATCCATTTCAAGGATTGGGATCATCAAAGCATTCTTGTAAAATTTATACATCCTGTCTTTTTGGAGTTTTGAACAAGCTTAAATAAACAGGGCCTGCAGTTCATCAACAGCATCCTGTAATTTGGAGAATGAATGGGTTGCAGTGCATCTGATGGTGTTTGGCATACCCCAAAAACACTAACTAACTAATTGTTTTTAAATTTTACTTGATTTCTGAACTGTTTTGGCATGTTGTTTTGAAAAAAAAAGAATAAAGCATATGAGGAGGTCATGTGCTGGACTTAAGGCACATTTAAGTTTTTATTTTTTGACATTTTAATAACCGAATTACTCGCTGATGAATGTACACATTCACAATGCGATGGCCTCTGCAGCTAGAAACAGGGTATGGTAATGTTCGTTATTGTGACAATAATGATATTAGTCAGTGTTTGGATCAACTTTTATCTCTTTCTTTTATTAGTTACGTAATCTGGCCTTCAAAAAGATTCCTCAGAAGTCCTGTGCCCCACCACCCTCTATGACACTGTCAGGAATAGCCAGTGAACTTCTCAACCCCGCACCAGGAGACCACAATATACCTTCAGAGGGGTGGCAGCAGTGGAAACAGAGAGATGAGCAGGTAAGGGAAAACAACTCTTTGCAAAAAATGTGTTTGCTCGTGAGTTTCTTTGATAATAATAGCACCACTGATGTGCCCTTGTGGAAGTTACTTGTAGCTCTCTTTAGCTAAGCTGGTCAGAGGTCAGCCGTAGAGGAATGCCTTCCATGTGTGCAACAGAAGAAGAAGCAGGATATTGTTAGACGGCATCTTAAACGGGTCACGTCTGACCTTACAAATAGTACCAGCTCTGTAAGTTTCTCATCTGTTCTCCCTCCGTCTACTTAGATAACCACAGAACTATATGAGGCGGACTTGGAAAAGGCCTTGATTCTCAGTAAGCTGGAATACGAACAACAGAAACAGGTACACACTGTGCACAAATACACACTAATATCCTCTTTTTGGAAGTCAAATTTGGGGACACATTTGTAAAAGTTGAAAGATTTGTAGATATGTATCATTTTACAAAGATGTTAATTTGTATGTTGCCAAGAATGACATATTTTATCTTATAATGATATTTTATATGTGATAATAAATCATCATCACATCAACTGAATCCTGTCTCTTGCTGCTGTTTATTTACTTTTATTTAGGTTGTACTTCTTATTAGGATTTTCAGATTATAAGTTTGCATAGTCATATTTTTTGAGCAGTTGACATTGGATAGCCAATTTAAATAAAACTGAAAAGATCAACAAAATAGTTTTCTGCTGTGAAATGGAAATTTAATTTTGGACTTCTTTGAAAATCACGCTCGTTGGAGTTAATATTATTATAACATGATCAATTGTTAATAAAGGTTAAAAGCCTGAATTATGAGTGAAAGTCAAATGATTTGCTTTCATTGGGCAGAGCAACACAAACACATCCTCACCAAAGTCACGAGGAGGAAAAGAGGGCGGAGGAAAAAAGGACAAAAAGAAAAATCAGCAGGCAAAAGACAAAAAGACAGTTTCTCTGCAGGACTTCCAGGCTGAAGGTAGTGCAGGTGAGAGAAACGTATTGATCATTTTCAGAATCCATGAAACTCGGATGTTGCTGCAGTCCATCACACAGCAGGTTCCCACAACATGAGCTGTAACTTCTGGAATAGAAAAGAAACCCAGACTATGTTACATGTATTTTCCTCTCTGAAGTTTGTTTAAGGAATTCTAAAATTGTTTGTTTCTCTTTACAGACCAATTAAGTAGGAAACAGGAAAAAGAGGTAAGCAAGACTTCACATTACAATGCATATAAAAGTGAGTAGTTACTGAGGAATGCCTCAGAAACAGCCGGATGGTTGTTAATGAGAAGTTCCTGAATAAATCAGAAGAACATAGGGGCTACTGACAGACTGGGAGATACTATAATACTGAATCATGCATTAATGGCAAATTCATTCATCTCTCTAAAACAAAATACTAGTTTTGTCATAAGCCGTTCCGAATGAACTCTGAAATAAATAGCGGCTCATTGCTAATTACTAAATCGTTAGTGGAATCTCTTTTTTTGATTCCAGTTCGTGGCTATATGACCATTATTTACCTTTTTGTGCTTTATTAAGTAACAAAACCAAACACGAGACATCAACGTTCACTGGGGAATGAGTTCCAATGAGTTCCTTCATAGCAAATCAGAGAGAACAAAACAGAGTACTTAAGGATTAAATAAGTAGTAATTAATGTGGTATTAATCAGGAACAACCTATGTAGAATGATTACTTAATGATTTCTTAATTCAGCATCTCTCAGCCTGTTCTCCTGCATATTCCTTGGTTGATATTTATTCTGTAACTACGCACGACCAGTTCAGTCATTTTCAGGTTGTTTCTGATTTGTTCCTTGTGTACTCCTCACTAACTAATCATATTTTTGTGTACTATATTTTACATTACAAACTTGGCTTACCTATAAACAATATTTAAATTCCTTTACTTGTTTTATTTGTGACTGATAATCTTTTTTGTTATGGCAAACTGGGAATGAAACGCTGACCAATTTCCCTTCCAGGACGGCAGAGCAGCTAACCCAGTGCCAGGGACCGGACAGGAGGAGCGTTTTTTTAACAAGTTGGAAGATGACGTCAGTCGGATCATCCAAAGGGAGAAAAGACGTGAGCAGTACGCTAACAGCCAGGGACAGGAAGTCAACACCTCCACAGAGCACGAACCTGTGAGTGAACAGACGTGGACAACAAAATCAAGCTGTCTGTATTTATCCAGTTTCATTTGTTAACGAGCAAAGCTTGCACATTTTTTCTTATTCTTTTTAATACTTAACTTCTTGACATTTCGCCCCTGCTGCCTATGATCTCTGTCCTTTAAACTGTCTGTGTGGACATTTTCCAGTGATTGAGTAAATACAACATCGCCTAAGCAAAGTTTTTATTTCTCAGTTGAATTAGTGTGAAGTGTAAAGTTGTTCTCCTTTCTGCCCATCAGGACCCCCGAGCAGAGCAGCTGAAGTACGAGTTGGAGAAGAAAGACCAAGAAATCGATAAGCTAAAGAAGACCATCTCACAGTGGGAGGTCAGCAGCTATAAGCAGTTACCCAGTCTTGCTTAAAATTCACCCAGTTTGCCAGTTGTGGAATAGATACCAACACTCACATCTATTTATGACATATTATATATTAGCAATGTTTTTGTGCACTTGTTTATTGCAGCAAAAAGTTAAAGAAGTAAACAAGTAGATGAGACTCACACTTGAATGTGCACATCTTAGAGATTCAGATTCAGATTTAGACTTTACTGTCCCCGTGGGGAAATTCTTTTCCACAGCACCGTTCCACTTGATTTACATTAACAGGACATTAACAGGACACACATTCTACAAAAGGCATCAGGCTTTTGCCTCGTCGTCTTACTGTCTTTTAAGCAGAACCTAGTAAGACTTAAGTCTGAGTTGTAGAAGAGGACAGAATTCCAGAAAAGTTATTGCAACACAGAATGGATGAGGACACAGGAATGTGTAAGAAAGGGAGGAGACAAGGTGGTGAGAATGAATGAATCAAGGACAGATTGGTTTAGTTGGTCAAGCTGACTGTGATCAGCAGGATGGAAATCCCCTGTTAACCTTCTGTTTATTATTGTCATCTCTGTCAACCTTGGGCTTGAACTGCGGCTTAAACGTTAACTCACGGAGGCTGTGAGCAGTTTAAACTATAACTGTTGGCCACAGTGGACTCCAGATGACTGACCGTGTGTTGCCTGTTACAGTTTTAAATTTGTAAGCCTCTGTGCCTGAAACATCCAAGGCCAGGGGCAATATGTTTTTAAGCTGTCTGTATCAGCTTGTCTAAAGAAACATCTTGAAACACACCTGTTGCCTGAAACACTCTTCTGTTGTGGCAAATGCTATAAACTTTTCCTTGCTCCTCAACTGTGCAGGTGAAGTACAAGGAGGTGAAAGCCAGAAATGCCCAGCTGCTCAAGATGCTCCAACAAGGAGAGAGTGAGTTCAACATTACATTTGACACCCGTCCTTCCTCCGCTGATGACGGTTTCATGTGATCTGTCTGATGTTTTACGATGCTTCTAATCACTCTCCATCAGTGAAGGACAAAGCAGAAATCCTTCTACAGGTAGAAGAACTCCTGCATATTAAAGAAGAACTGTCATCACAGGTGTGTAACCGTGAGAGACTGAGGGAGCAGAATGTTTGTACACTTATGTATGTGCACATGAATGAGGCATTTTTATATCTGTTTAGGTAACATTACTACACGCTGCCCTTGAGCAAGAAAGGTCTAAAGTCAAAGGACTGCAGTCAGAACAACCAAAACATCAGGTGAGAGTTTGACTCATGTTTTCATTTACTTCCATGTGGGGTATCATGTCGATGTAAGCAGGAATACGTAGATTCAGATTCTAGTCTTGTCTGATTTGTGGATAGGTGACATCATGTTTTATATTTATTGTGTCAAAAAACTTGACCTTTTGTGTGCTGTCATGTACGTTGGCTTCTTCTTCTTCCTCTCTCGGTAGATCAGAGAAACAGCAGTTAGTAAGTCAGGTGAAGTGAGAGAAGTTGCAGTCTCAGAATTCCAGAGGTACAGTAATAAGTGTAGATTTGAGTTTCTGACTTTACCCAGCTCTGTCAGGATAGAAATAAGTTCAGTTCAGACCACTTTAACATCTTTTACTTCTTCTTAATGCCACAGAATATTTCAGGATTTTCAAGGCTCTGTTATCATTTGTCTTAATTCATGAGATTTCTTTCTAATGACCAACACTGTGAGTGGCTCACTTATGATGCACAATCCAAGAAATCTAATTCTGCATTTCTGTTTTTTCCTTCTTGTCTTTTTTTAACTGACCTAAACATGAGTTAGGTCTATAAAACACACGTTTCAGTATAACTCTTCCCCATACTAATAAACAATGGTGTTCTTTCTGGGCTTTTCTGTTTGGCAGGGAAACAAGAAGGGAAAGAAAGGCTCCGAGACGGATCTATGAAGGTTCCAGAAGCAAAATACCTGAAAAGAAAAAACAAGCGAACAAAGGAGGAAAACACAGCTGATCACAATCAGGGTTTTCCTTCCTTATTTTTTTAGCTCAGACTTCTTGTCGGCCTTTAATGCATGCCCCCCTAAACACACACACACACACACACACATACAGAATACACTCCTGATGTGGCTCAATGTATTACACAACTGAACAAGATTTTCAGAAGCTTTTAAAACCGACAACGTTGTAAAGTTGTGTTGGAACGGTGGCCTGGCTCACTGTGCTGCCCTCTGCAGGCACTAGAGTGCCGCTGGATCTCCAGTACTGTTCAGGGCTGTGTGCCTGATCTTTCCATATGATACGAAGATGATGTGAAAGTTTTTGTTTATTTGTTTTCTTTCTCACTGTTAAGTAAATAAAATGCTTTTTCAGTGAAATAAAACGTCGGGGTTTGGTGTTGTCTTGACTGTCAAGTAAATCATTTGTCTTCAATGCAAATTACAGCCACACTGACTCCAGCATGATTAGACAGTAATTAATAGGGATCTGTTCAAGACCCAAGGTACAGCCTGCCTCACAAGAAACCTACGAATCACTAAGTCGAACAGTTTACAATACAGAAAGTAAGGATTATTACAACTTCAAAGATAGTTTTTTTTAAAAAAAAACAGTAAAATCACTAATAAAAGTGCTTTAAGAAAATGAAAGGGATGAATTCTCATAGTCGCCACTCATCTGTGGTCAAGTTGTGCCACTAGGAACTGAATTTAAATAATTTATATATGAATTTTAATTGCCCAACTTGAATAATTACAATTTACAGTAAAAAATCAAATGCTACATCAAGTTTAACTCAAAATGTTTCTCTTAAGTTTCATGTTTATTGGAATTCAGATGCAATCCAATAATCCAAGTTAAGAGTTGTGAAATTGAAATTAGGAATTTTCCAGAAATATGCAAGTTGTGAAATTCAAATTGTGAGATTCAAGTTTATTTTTTAGGATTTTGCACCTATACAAACTGAGCAATAGAATTCAAATAAACATGATTCAGGGGAACATTCCTGCACACAGAGACGATGGAGGTTTGATTGTTTGACTTTGGGTCTATTGTGCATCACTTCTGGAAATATGTGTCAAGTAAATAAGGCTGTGAAATTAGTTTGTTTTGATCTGGGAAGGGAATTTAAAGTAAAATTAGTGGCAGCGCAGCCTTTAAACTGCTGATTAATTTTGTGATGTACTATATCTTTAAGCTGGGATCCAGTTACATAACCGTCCTATTAAGTATGAAATGATTTAGTCTGAGTATCCAAGCTGTTGTAAACGGCACCAGGATACCTTTCTTAATAAAAAATAAGAAGAAGATAATAATACTAATAGGGTGTGGGGTTTGAGCTCCTCACTGCGCAGCCGGGTCTCAGCTGACTCACATCCAGCTCAACTTTGTGCCGAGTCATCGGGACTCCTCCGCCCCGGGACGGTGCGCTCCAGGTTCCTCTCATCTCCATCTGCGGCCCGGACAGGACGAAGATGTCAGGCGCCGTGAAGGACGAACCGAGAGCTCCAAGTGACCGTCACAGGTCTGAAATGATCCACGTTGCCGTCAGAAGTGTGACGGAGAGCCGAGACTTCACCGTCAGAGGAGACTGCACCGTCAGACAGGTCAGCAGGCTGTCTGGACGCGCGTAAAGGCGGCTCGATCTGATGGGACATGCTGAGTCCAGGAGACTGTTTCCATGTCAAATACTGTCCTAATTATAAAGCATCCAGTCTAGGTTTTGTGTCATCATTCTGACTGGCAAAGTGCTGTTGTGTATTTGTGTGTTTGTGTTTGTGCAGTTGAAAAGGGGTCTATCAGAGCGGATGGGAGCCTCAGCAGAGCAGCTGGTGCTGATCCATTCCGGCAGGATCCTCAGAGAGTCAGAGCTGATGAGTCACCTCAAAGGACAGAACGGGTCAGTCAGCCTCTGCATGATCCAAAGGTAACACAAACGTGCACACACACACACACACACACACACACACACACACACACACACAGGGCATGAAGGCACCAGACAGGAGGTGGCTGGAGCACATAGATGAATTCAGGCTGAGCAAACAGAAAAACACTTCAGCATTACTGTGCCTTCATCAGAGTCAAAGTGGACAAAGACATGAGGCAGAACAGATAAATTCACCCTGAACCAGGTGTACAATCGTCTTTTGATAATTGGTGGAGCAGGATTGTAATCTGCTGGATGATGAATCCAAATTAATTTCCATTCCTGAATTTGTCTCGTGTCTCCAAGTCGTCAGATTTCACAGATATTTCTAGCTGCACTTTTGTACCTTTATTCAGTGTAAGAGATGTTTTTGTTTGTGTCATGGTGTTGTCCCTCTGACAATGTGAATTAACTGATTAGTCACGTTTCCTCTGGGTTGTCACCTTTACCACAGGCTTGTTCTGATCATTTTCGTACTTCTATTCCTGCCTGTGCTCCTTTATTTCTAGCGTGGGGTTGGAGGTGCAGCACATCCACGCTGACTGTAGCCGATCCCACCCTTGGATTCATCATCAACCAATTATCCACTGACAATTGCACATCTGGTTTAGGTTGAATACATCTGTTTGCCTCATGTCTTGTGTCAGTCACAGTCATGTCAAAGTGCTGTGTTTGCCCAGAACAAGGCTGTGAAATGAACAATGTCCTCCAGCCTCCTTTTGTGTTCTGGAAATGTGCTGCCTTTGAGCTGAGAATTACCTGTCAACGCTGTGTTTTTGCTGGAAGCTGCACAGAGAACCCGGTTTCTGCTTGATAATGCTGAAGATATTGCACAAAAACAGTGAGCTATGTGTTGAAAATATCAAGCACTGACTGCCTTTTAAGAGTAATAGTTTAAGGCACATGTTTTTGTTGCTGATAAATCTGACACTGCTGCATTCACAAGTGCTGAAGGTGTTGCAATTGTTTACTCACAATCACAATTTTCTGTGTCATGAGACATACTTGTGGCCAAAATTATGTGGCTATAAGGCATTTTATTTCTAGTACTACTGCATAGTATTATTATTTTACTTAGATGTAAAATAAATATGTAATAGACACATTAGCTTCTGTTTCTAGAGTCAAAATGATGTATGCAGACATCTTAAGAGATCAGCACATTGTCCTTATGTCTCTCTCAGTTCTTCTAAATTAGGTTTATTGAAGATAATCAGTGTGCAGATCTTCTGCTTGACTTCTGCTTTCAGTTTATAATATTTGTCCAGAAATTGCTAAAGTTTCTTTGATGCACAATCATTCATTACCAAAACTGGACTTGTTGCATAAAAACAAATACATGTATGCAGTTTCTACAACCGACCTGCAAACCTAGAGTCACATGACGTCCATCTTTCTCAGGCCTCAGCAGTCTTCTGCTTCACCCACCAGTGATCCAGCTTCAGAAACTGTCCAATCAGACCCCAACAACTTCACCCCATCTCCCACTTCTCCCCTCTGCCTGGGTAAGTAAGTGCTGCAGATTGAGGAACTCCCTTCACCTCTAATTATTTTCCTCCTGTTCACACTCTTCAGATCTCACAATTCATTTGCATTTCACATGTTTGAATGTCTCTAGTTTTCAGTCCTCTCTATCTGGGCTTCTCCTGCTGCATGATTATGTCTGACTCAGCTCTCCAGTGCATTTACATACCGCTATTCTTTTGATCACGTCTTGTTTCCGTAGTAGAGGGTCTAGACAACCTCGGCCTAGAAAACAGCGAGCCTGGCTTCTTCCCTGCTCTCCAGCGCCAGATGGAGAACCGACTGCTGGCGGACCCAGAGATGATGCGTCGTGTCCTGGGCAGCCCCTTTGTGCAGAGCACCCTGTCTGCTTCCAGCCCTCGACTGACCAGGCAGCTCATTCTGTCTAATCCTCAAATTCAGCAGCTGCTGCGAACAAACCCAGAGGTGGAGGACATGCTGAACAACACAGATGTCATCACACAGGTGGGTGTAGTTTGGGATAAAAAGGAGTTGCAAGTGTGTGTGTGTGTGTGTGTGTGTTAAGTATGCTTTAAGTAAGGTGTGTGATAGCACTAATACCTTAAAGGGGCTGAATGTAGTTGTTGCCTTCTGGACTCATTTCTCATGAATTCTTCTTGCTTTCACCTCCCATCCAGGTGCTGGAGCTCATCAGGAACCCTGACATGATAGAGGAAGTGATGCAACGTGAAGACAGAGCATTAGGCAATTTGCAGCCAGAGAAGGACGACTCTGAGACCATCAATGGAGATTCAGCTGGTGTCCAGAGGACAGACGCAAAACGACAGGAGCAGAGTTTCAAAGTATCACAGGTGCAGCTTTAAAGGGAAAAAAAATCCTAAATGATCTTTGTAAATTAGGTCAAACTAGTCTTGTTTGTTTAAGCTGATGTTGGAGATGCCTCTGTCTACTTTCTCTTGATGTTTGGGAACCAACAGACTGCAGATGGAGGAAACGACGCAGCACCGCCCTGCTCCAGTCAGTCCACAGACCCTCTCAGAGTACTGACTGCACCCAGAGCTGGTCCACAGTCTCAGAGTACCACTGCTGCAGGCAAGAAAACATACATCCTCATGGTTTATGTACAAAATAGTAATTCCCTCATCACACAACTAAACTAAAAATGCTAGAAAACAAACATGGAGCTGATGCATAAAGAAAATCTGAAACTTATGCAAACTATACACTGGACACTATATCTTTTTTTTTTGGTGTTTTCATCAACCTGTTTTTCTTCAAATGCTTCCCTACTTTTCTGTATTTCCTCTGGCCTCCTTCCTCTTGCTTCAGGCATGCAGTCGCTGCTGGAGGAGATCACTGCCAGTCCAGGTCTGATGGAGAGCCTCCTGTCTGGGCCGTACGTCAGCAGTCTTCTAAACTGCCTCAGCCAGAACCCTGACCTGGCTGCACAGGTGATGTTTACACTATTTATGTGTGTATGCAAACTCTTAAATGTGCAACTCTGGAATCACTGATTTTCAGCCAGTAGCTGAAGAACACATCCTTTGTTCGCTAGTCTTATTGTCCACACTGCTTTCATTCTCATATAATTTCAGATGCTGCTGAGCCACCCTTTGTTCTCAGGAAATCCTCAGCTGCAGGAGCAAATGAGACAGCAGATCCCTCTGTTCCTGCAACAGGTCTGGTTATTCTCTTCACTATTACTCTGTCGTCGTAAATGAAACACCTGCGTTTGGGACATTTATCATCATCATTGTCATCCACTATTTACGTGAACAGTATTCAATTTTCATTTTAATGTTTATTTCATCAGTGGCTTTAGAATTTTTGCTGTATTAGCTCTAAAAATGGGGATTTGATTTTATGGCATCAGTCAATTCTTATTCATGGCTTCATGTACATATAAATAATTGCCTTCCTTAATAATACATGTGTAGATGCAGAGTCCGGAGCTGCTGTCAGCTCTGTTGAACCCCAGAGCCTTGGAGGCGCTGCTGCAGATCCAACACGGCCTACAGACTCTGGCTGCAGAGGCTCCTGTCCTCATACCTGCGTGAGTGAAAACAGACGCTGCACATCAGCCTAAAGAGCTCAAATCAGAATCAGCATTAAAAAAAATCATATTTTAAAATGATTGTGTATTTCCCACCACATGTCTGTCCTGCAGGGCTGGACTCGGGAACACTGGCGCCAGTGTTAATGCTGCTCCTGAATTTGCATCTGAGTCTGTCCTGAACAGCCAATCAGGAAGTGGCCCTCGGGTTGCCACAGTTACAGAGCAGCAGCAGCAGCAGTTTGTACAACAGATGCTACAGGCACTGGCTAACACTAATAATGGGGTACGTCAGTTTTTTCCTTCTGACCTTGTTGTCTGCCTTTGAAATTGATCTGAGCTGCTTCTTCTTACACCAAAACATCCATGGAAAGCTCACTTATAAAGCAGGCTGCTTCTTGTTATTACCAAGTAAGGTAGCTCAATGATGCATGCCCTTAATACTAAACTTTGTAATGATTCAGAACACAGTTTTTAAAATTAGTTACACAAACAGAGAGTAATTGCAGCCAGTCTTACAGACCTGTCTGCACTGACAGCTGCTGGTGACAGCTTGCTGTAGTGTGGCTCCAGAAAACCACACAACGCCTCATCTAGCAACATCCAGCTGTGATGTCTGATGTGGTCCAGAGATTTATATCTTTAATCCATAGAGGCCATAGAGTGCAGCGTGTTTACATTCCTGTCAACATTTTGTGCTGAGTTAAAATTTGTCACATAGAGCAGGAGTCAGCTGTAGCCAAATATGTTCAGTGTGAGAAATATCAGGAGGTGTGATGTGGAGTAAGACGCACTTCAGAATTCAGTCTAAAAAATAGACAGCAGGATTTCTAGAAAGATCTTGAATCTTGTAAGTGACAGTTTACAGTATAGATTGATGTATGGGATCTGAATACCACTATGTAAACGTATTACAAGTAAAAGCCCTGCAGGAAAACCATACTTTGAAAAAAGTATTAGCACTATAATGTATTTAAAATATTAAAGTAAAACTAATTTTTTGGTCCCTTAGACTCATATTTTATTCTGTCTGATATCATTACATTATTAATACTAACTGCAGTAACTGCTGCAGGTAGAACTACTCTAAACTATGTTGTATACAGTTTTTTATAGGGACACCAGATAAATCTGATTATTTATTGGGAGGAAAAAAAAGAAAAGCAAAGTTCTGATACACAAATCAGCCCTAACCTTCTGGACTTTTTCTCTAATCTTTGATTTTGGTGAAATATAGTATTATGTGACAATTTGTGGAATTGAAATGTAAGATATATGGTGCAAGGTGTCTCAGTGGTTAGCACCGTCGCCTCGCAGCAAGAAGGTCGCCAGTTCGCGTCCCGGTGAGGACACCCAGGATCTTTCTGCGTGGAGTTTGCATGTTCTCCCCGTGCAGCATGGGTTCTCCCTGAGTCAGCTGAGATAGGCTTCCGCTACCCTAGCGAGGATAAAGCGGTGTATAGATAATAGATGGATGGATATATGGTGGGAAAGTCCACTACTTGTTGGAGCTGTTAACATCTCAGACATCTGAAATGTGAGCCTGACTGGCATTTGAAAGACACCAGTAGCCAAAAAAGGTTAGAAAACAATGTTTTTATTTTAATCTTTTAAAAAACTGTTATATCATCCATTTTAGCATAAAATGGAAATACTCTAGTAAAGTACATGTGAGTCAAAATTGAACTCAAGCACGATACTTTCGTAGAAGTTTCTCACCGCCACTGTCTGTTCTTACTTGTTTTTAAAGACTTAAGGTCAAATTAGGAGAGAAACATCTGAAATACAAATTGGGTGGCGCATTTTCCCTCCCAGAGGCAAAAGACCTCTTTGCTAATATTTTTTTTCTTGCTTTTGCGATCAGTAAGACTTTAAAAGACTCTCCTGTCACGTTGTGTCAGGTCCATCACGAGGAGGACGAGTTCCAGGAGGAGCTGGAGCAGCTGAGCTCAATGGGCTTCAGAGACAGACAGGCAAACCTCCAGGCCCTCATCAGTACAGGAGGAGACGTCACCACTGCTATACAACATCTGCTCCGTCTCTGACACACACACACACACACACACACACACACACACACACACACACACAAATAACTGTACGTGCACTAACATCTATATTAAAGCATCTACGCTCAAACATGAAAGTAATAAATATCATTAATGACAACAAAGTGCTTCAGGAAAAACAAACAAAGCCATATTAATATTGATGTTTTTTCAAAGATAAACTCGTATTCAGTAGCTTGCCATATGCGCCTCACTCTGCTGTGGTAGACGAGCAAAGTCACCCTCACTCTAGTACAGTTAGTTTTTTCTCTTTATTCAGATCCAGATTGTAAGGACGGTGGGTGCTGTACAGACTCTAAAGTAAGTTTGTGATGTTTGGGAGACAAATAGATGTAAAAACTGACTTGAAGTGGGAACTGGGGAAACACTAGGAGGATGTTTGCTTCATTTGTGTCTTTCTAGAATGAGTGCTTTGGGTTAACATTAGTGTAGAAACAAAAGAATGCAATTAAATTGAGTCTGCTAGTGACACGCTGCAGCACAGGTCTGTACAGACACTTAAATCCACCTTACATAGCGTAGCCTTGTAGCAACTGCATAAATATTCAGAAGCAGGCCATGTTTTATTAATCTCTGCGCTGCCACACTACGAACGCCCGAGCCTCTTTTCATGTTGCCACCTGGACAGGAGTCTAATGAAAGCTTTTAACACCCAGAGACAGTCAGATGTCCTGGAAGCAGACGGAGGATTCACAGTCTCGGTTCTCAGTCAACAGATTGAACCAGAGGCGCAATATGTTTTGTGATGTTCTCGCTCTCCCTCGCTGACTCTTGTGTCTTGTTCACCACAGGCTGTAAAGAAAACAGACACACCAGGTAATTATAAAGTCTGCCTCGAAAGGCGCGCTCAGTTTTTAAAAGATTTATTCCAGGAGAGATGATGACTTTGTGCAAAGTCAAAATGTGCCGGGATGTCAGCGTTTATCTCGAGGCTACAGAGACACAGGAACTCTGATTTGCACAGCTAATCTTCTCACTGGAGAGAATTCTATCAGCCATGAAGAAAAGGATTTGAGTGGAGGGGTGGGGGAAAAAGATTTTATCCTTTTTTTTTTGGACGTCACAACACGAGCCATGATGACAAAGATTAGAATTTACTTTGCGTAGGTGACGTTCTTCTTAGAAACCCGATGTGCCTGAAAACCTTTCCACGCACTGACCACTAACACCTGCAGTACGATGTTCTTCCTCCAGCTTCTATGCGACACTGTGTTTGTGCTATAAGGAGCATTTTATATCCTTGTGATTTCACTAGAGAAAAAAAAAAAGTCTAAGCGACATACTTTCACTCCTGTAGCTGACTTGTGACTGTGATGTAAAGAATCAAACCTAATAAATGCTGTTCTGTTATTTACTCTGTTTGTGAGTAATAATTCTGTTGTCCCTTATTTAACAAACACTGTTTGTCATTTCACATGAATCTATGATGATGCCCTGCTTTATCAAACGTGTTATATTCCTTCACTGTAATATTAAGCTGTGTGGGGCTGCTATGATAAATTATTTTAAATCAACAAAGCTGTTTTATATGCATTTAGTCAACAAAATGATCAGAAAAAATATCCACCACGACTTTCAGGAGTCCAGGATGGTGTCTTCAGATTGCCTGTTTTGTCCAAAACCTAAAGATGTTCAATTTACAATCATATTAAGCAGAGAAAAGCAGAAAATCCTCACATTTGAGAAGCTGTAAGAACATAATTGTCTATGTAGAGATTGACAGTTTCAATACAGGCACAAGTCAAACAAAAAGCTGCTCTGCTTCTGTCTTTGAACAACAAAAACATCTGAAACACAAAATCTATATAACTACCAGACTTTTAAGTAGGTATTGTATCAGGCTTTTCTAGGTAGTACTAATATCTAATCTTGTACTGTTCTACTATAAACACAAGGGGGCAGTTACACTTAACGTCCTTCCTTCTATCACCTGTTGTGCTTTGTGTGGCTGAGTTATTCTGTGAGCAAGATCCAAACAGTGCAGGTTGGATTTAATTAGGGTCCGAGCACCCAAAAGGGTGCGAAGACCCT